CTGCAGTTGTAGCTGAAGGTTGACTCTAGTAGTACGTTACAAATCAATTCACTGTTTTTCAGATTTATGATTTTTTCTGAATTATAGTCTAAATGGCATTCTCAGATTTAACTGCCAGGCTAAAAAAGACGTTATGTACAGCAAATATAAAGAGTCATATAAAAGCTCCAGGACACATTACCGCAGCACTTCCTAGAGCCCTCTGAAGAGTAGATTAGCTCTTGTGTTTATCCTGGGCTATATCTCATCTAATTTCTAACCTTATATGCTACAATAGTAGACTGTAATTCTCCACAGAATGCCTAGATAGTTTGACAATTGAAAATTCCATAGTCCACCAACACCAGTGGTTCTCGCATTAAAATCATCAGTAGAGTAGGGCCAATAGCAGCATCAGAGATGTTTTGGAGGGAAGGGGGGAAACAAAGAAGAGTAAACAAGCCCTGATGAATTGCTCCACTGACTTTGCATTATTTAAAGGGAAGTGCTGTTAGTACAGAAGCCAGCTGTTTAACCACTGCAATTCCGTACCTTGGCCCGCCTTCAGGGGACTTTAGAACAGTGTGATGAGATTTTATATCTGCTTGTAGCACATGGAAAGAAACATTCACATACTTGCTACAGTAGATTAAATAGAAGCCAAAAATTCTAATAAGTAAACTTTGACCTACGTGATATGAAACCTCTTTTGAGCTAGGAGCTGACAAAGAAGGAAAGAAACCTCCAAGGAAATCAGTGTACGTCAGCAAAAAGGAATGCCTAGAACTGTTATATGTCCACAGGCAGCACTTTGAAGATTGAGTAAATATAGGGAACTTTTTGATAGCAGCTGGAAGGCAGCACTCAAATTGTGTCAGAAAGATGAGAAAGAACTATGTGGGTGCCCATCATACTGACACAGCAGGATCAGTCAGTATTTTAAGGCAATGTCATTAAAAAAAAATTAAAGAACAGAAAACTGGTATTAAATGCAGAACCACCAGGCGTTTATTTACGAGTATGGATTTTGGTCTAGAAATTAACTTAAGTGCTTAGTTACGTCAGTCGCTATGTAGGAGAGCACTCAGGCATGTGCTTACTGTCGAGTATGTACTTTAGTCCAACAGACCGTGTTAAGAGCTTGAACATTTGCCTAAATCTAAGTGCATACTTTGGTAACTTGATAAACTGGGACTATCTGATCCTGAAGTCCTTCCAGAACAAGATGCGCCTGCCCTAGGTGATCCTGTTCTGGCAGGGGAGTTGGACTAGATGATCTCTAGATGTCCCTTCCAAACCCTGACATTCTATGATTCTACGATTCTATGAAATAGTGATAACATCTGTAAAAGTGATAGTGTCTCCTTGTAATTCCTTATCTCATCTTTGTCTGTGATAGCATCTTTGTATGCTGTAGTGCTGAAGAAGACAGCAGCAATTTAAAATATATCGGTTTAAAATTGATTTAGACATCAGATATTTATCAAAAGTTAAGTCCACAGTCATGATTACTGGAAAAGAATAGTTTTTCTGTGTTTTTTTCCTCTTTATTTATTTATTTATTTATTTATTCTCTTTATTTAGGTTTTGCATTAAGTATCTATGCAAATAATAGTGCAGGAGAAATGTTGCCATCTATTACTAGATAAGGCAGACAGTGCTTCATAGGTTATTTGAAGTACTCTATCAATTTCATAAATGCTTAAATTCAGACACTGATAAATCTCACATATAGTCACACAACATGATAGTAGCTAGGTGAGAATGAAACTCGAGAATGACAACTTCCGACTAATAAAATAATTGTGTAAGTGCCTCCTTGACTTATCTGGAAGATAACATACACAAATAAATGAGTGATATTATTAAAAGTTAGAGTACATGGCTCTAGTTCCTCTATGCACTGTCAAAAACAATCAAATATATTCTTGTTGAAATGAAGGTATTTGCTAAAAAGTCATTAATTTTGCACAAGACATTATAGTGATAAACTGATAGAATACTATATAAACTGTTACATGTCGCTGTTTTTATCTTCTGTCTTGAGTAACAAAAAAAATTAAGGAAAGAAAGCATCAAATTATATAACTGAGTTAAACTGAAAATGTCAAAATACAAGCAATGCTGTATAAGTAAAGGCTCAACACAGTTAAATTGGAAAGAACTATTGATTTTTAAAGCAGATGGAAGATTCTGAAATAAAATCACCTTTACCACTGAGTTCATCTTTGATTTTAATCATGATAAAGCTAAATATTAACCATATTAAATAATGAAATTTTGAGATCTTGCAAATTTAACACTTCATTTGACTATTTCCTTTATAACCCCTTCATATTTCAATGGATCCCATAAAAATTGCTGCTATCAGTCATTAGACATTTATAGTCTTGTTATTGCTGTAGACATTTATACTCTTGCTATTGCTATAACCTTGTTACTCATGGAAGAAAGACTTTATCAAGTTCTGTTGTTAACTCACTGAAGTTCCTGGCCAACACATTTTATCTTATTGATTCTAAATTTTGTCATCTAGAGGCAGTATTACCTAGCCGACATGAATATCATAAAGAGCATTTGTAAGATTCTTAGAAGTACAAAATATTATTAATCCTGAAATCTTCTATTGGTTTGATGTTAAAAAAATTTAATAGGAAACTTCTAGGTAGGAGGGTCATGATAAGCCACATGACACTAACCAATGACCTGTCCATCCTTATTTCTACTATTAGCAGTAGCCAGGGAATCAACCACGCCTCTGTGCCTGTTAGCTGCTCTGAAATACCATTTAAAGGAAAATTCTTGAACAGAAGCTTTTAGAGTGTGTTTGCTTATGAAAAATTGGCAGACTGAGAAAAGAAAGGTAAGCTTAACTAATCAACTATTTGTACCTACAGCTCAGCTGGATATATTGAGAAGCGTTACATCTGCATGTCCAGGAATAGAATTTGTCCTTCAATGTTTTAAATGGAAACAAGACAAAACATGGAACAGCTCTGGATATCCCACACAGTTAATGACATTCCACATTTTATCATGACTGCTAAATTTTAAAAGTGTCAGGCTAAGACAACCTGATCAACAGAATTCAGAAAAATCTCCTAGGAAAAGATTGAACTTTATATTATAACTCAGTGAATGAAAATTGTCTGGAAAAAAACCCTCAAAACTCTGTGTCTTATTTATAATATTTCTCAGTGATACACAAAAAACAACACACACAGACACACAGACAAATCAAGATATTACTGTAATTACTCCTGGCTTGCTGTTCTGTTTAGTCTTATGAAACAAATAATTTAGCAGGCAATGTACAGAATAAAGGCTCTCAGTGGACTGCAATCTGCTAAGTAAGCATGTTTTTCTTTTTGTTTAATTTATAGACCCTAAAAAAAAAGACATTTAAAAAGTTATTTTCTGGGTTTACAAAGCTCATAGGGATAGTTAATTCTTAGCTGACTGTATTGCTGGCTAAAATATTAGACACACTTTACCACTAGAGGTCTTTTTATTTACAGATATACTCAGGCCTCAAGGGTTTCACATCCGTGGACGTATGTTTTAATTACACAGAATTCCAAAATGGGATGTTGTCTTCAAATCGACAACTGCAGAACACATATATGGATATTAACCTAGAATTTGTTGTATAAGCATTGGAGGCAATAATTTTCCAAAGAGAATCTGAATTTTCTTTCTTTTTTTTTTAATAATCTTATCCTTTTTCTAGCTTGAGTAACTTCTTAAAATGTCAAGTCCTGCCAAATGTTGTGAAAAACAGAATTTTGATCTCAGTGATAAAACTGAAGTGAAAAAAAATACAAAGAAAAAAATTGGTAGAGCTGACTAAACTGAGTTACTTCATTTTTTGGCTCTTGGTGCAATTTTCTTTCCTTTTTTTTCCCATATTTTTGGGTTCTTAACCAATGCAGATCATTCTGTAAATGGAAATATTTACTGCTGAAAATGTCAAAACAAAACATTTAATCTTTTCAGAATTTTACTCTCTGAAACCAACTTCTACCGTAATTTTAAAATAGACATAGTAAGTAAGCAACTACTTATTTTTGTGAATTTACTGTTTCTTCATTTCTAGTTAGTCATAACATGGTGACTATCCAACTGGGCTGCACACAAACAAGCCCAGGAAATAACGGTACTGTAGTCTTTGTATAGTATAGCACAGAAATCAACAGTTATTAAAGAAATCATAAATCACTGGGGGGAAAAAATAAAAAGAAAGAGGGTAAGAGTTCTGTGAATGAAAATGTCAACCTGTACGGAAGCTGAGTGAAGAATGCAAAACATTTTCCTATCAAGCACTTTCTACAAATGCGCAGTGCAATCACAAATCACAGGGAAGAACATGTTATGTCAGTCCCATTTCCTATACTGTGCAAACTTATAGAATATAAAATCTGCCTTTATCTGTTCCATTAACCATCCTCCTATTTTTGCAGCATTTCATTGGTTACTTTGTTACCTTATTTCCTGCTTCCCGCTAGTTTTTGAGCTTGCAGTGGTATACAGTATTTATTTCCGCTTTGGAACACACTGACTACATATAGTGGCTCAGTGTAGCCTTTTTCATTAGAAAACACTTGCCTACAACACAGGCGTGATCTATGATCTTTAAACATCAGCTACCTCAGTCAGCTCAACAATCAGTTTTCATCCAAAAGCTAGAGGGTAAATTTCCTTTGCAAGGCTTATCTCAACTTCCTGTCTCTCCATTTTTGATGCCAAGACAGTTCAAGAAAATCTTGAACTTTTCTAAGAAGATACAGTTTATCTCAAATGCTTAAATAGCAAACACTCGTGGACAGAGATTAAAGTTGGACATTTCCAGCAATATCTTTTGAAATCGCATCAGAGAACAGGATCTTACAATAGATACACACAGGCAGACTCGACAAGTGTCATTGATGATTCAGTTAAAATAATGCAGCTTAAAATGATTGCCTCTGAGTTCTTTGCATTTTCTTTCTAACATAAAAACTTTCCATTTGTGTTTTGAATAGGTAAGCCCACAGGGTATGGATCCAGCAGTAGACGCTTACACCACAAGGGAATAGTGGATGAATGCTGCTTCCAGAGTTGTGACCTGAGGAGGCTGGAGATGTATTGTGCTCCAATAAAGCCACCTAAATCTGCACGCTCTGTACGTGCTCAGCGCCACACTGACATGCCAAAAGCACAAAAGGTAGGCCAGGCTGGAAAAAAACCAAACAAATAAACAAACAAACAAACAAGCCCCTCTACTTAATTTAAAGAAGGAAAATTCTATTAAGACTGGTAATATCAAACAACTTATGTGTTCTGCCCGCTAGGATTTAGGATGTTCTGCCCACTGAGATTTACTGAAGTTTTGGAAAAGAATGTCTGTGGTAGGAAAAACGTAGGAAATGAAGTATGTTCTATCTCATCTCTCAGAACGCTGACTAAAACAGGGAATTGCTAAACTAGTAGTTGTGAAGCTTTATCCTGATACTGGGTGTAAATGACAAGTACTCGTATCATCCAAGCGTAAATAGCACTTAAGAGTGCTTTGAAAAGCACTTTTCTTTCAAATGAGAAACCAAACACTGAATGCTTAGCAACTGGTTTATCCAGAACCTCTTCACTCATCCTTCCTTGTCAGGAAGAGGCAGAGTGAGTGATCAGGAGGGAAAACACAGCTCTTCTATACATTTTACATGTAAATGAACAACTGATTTTTTTATTTCCTCAGTATTTTGGCCTCTTCTGTTTTATTTATCAGAAATAAATTAACTGGATAATTGCTGCAATTATTACATACTTCATTTTAGCTATTTAATGTTTAATATGTATTTATCCAAGCACTTCAAGTATTCATTGATATTATTTTCATAGTTGTGGAGTTGAGAGTATCCAGATTTTGGTTCCTGTTATACTAGAAATACTGCACATATATATAGTTAAAACTCACCTTTCTGCAAGTTCAGAAAGCTCGTAGTCTAGACTACCAGTGAGATCATGTCTAGTTGTCTCTCCTGTTCGAGTTCTGAACATCTCTTCTAAACGTTATCATATACTGTAAGCCTCTAGTGATATATTTTATTGCTCTCGACCCTATCTGTCCTACACATAAGTTGGCTCCACTCCTGCAATTATGTGAAATTTTTTTGTAAGAAATAGAACTGCATGAAATCCTAAGATTTCCCCGGAAGTCAGGAAGCCAGCACTATGTACTAATTTCTTTACTATCATCTTTATGAAAAGAACAGTTGTAATCATTCCAGCACCCATTTCCTTTTCCACAGGAAACTTTTCACCTTTCCCTCAAGAGTTTTCAGCCTTTTAAAAAAATGGCTGTATGATACTTCCTAGGAAGTATCACCTTAGCTGTGACAATCTCAAAACACACGTGAAAACAAGTGAACTCATCTTCAGGTAGAGCTCAACTATAAGCAAGAAAATATATCTACACGTCTTTTAAATACCTGCAGGGATGGTGACTCAATCAGTTCGCTGGACAGCCTGTACCAATGCTTGACAACCCTTTCAATGAAGATATTTTTCCTAATATCCAACCTAAATGTCCCCTGGTGCAACTTGAGGCCACCTCCTCCTGTCCTATCACTTGTTACTTGCAAGAAGAGACTGTCCCCCATCTCTCTACAACCTCCTTTCAGGCAGTTGTAGAGAGTGATGTCTCCCCTCAGCCTCTTTTTTTCTCCAGTCTAAACAACCCCAGCTCCCTCAGCCACTCCTCATAAGACTAGTTCTTGAGACCCTTTACCGGCTTCATTACCCTTGTTTGGACACAATCCAGCAACTGAATGTCTCTCTTATAGTGAAGGGCCCAAAACTGAACACAGGATTCAAAGTGTGGCCTTACCAGTGCTGAGTACAGGGGCACAATCACTTCCCTACTCCTGCTGGCCACAAGATTTCTGATATGGGCCAGGATGCCGTTGGCCTTTTTGGCCACCTAGGCACACTGCTGGCTCATGTTCAGCCAGGTCTTGACCAACACCCCCCGGTCCTTCTCCACCAGGCAGCTTTCCAGGCATTTCTCCGCAAGCCTGTAGCATTGCTTGGGGGTTTTGTGACCCAAGTGCAGGATCCAGCCTTGCTGAAACTCATACCATTGTCCTCGGCCCATTGATCCAGCCTGTCCCGATCCCTCTGCAGAGCCTTCCTTCCCTCAAGTAGATCAATATTTCTGCCCAACTTTGCATTGTGGACAAACTTGCTGAGGGTGCATGTGATTCCCTCATCCAGATCATGGATAAAGATATTAGAACCAGTCCCAATACTCCACCCTGTGGGGAACACCACTTGTGACCGGCTGCCAGCTGGATGTAACTCCATTCACCACCCCTTTTTTGGCCCAGCCACTCAGACAGTTTTTTACCATCCAAGCCATGAGCAGCCAGTTTCTCCAGGAAAATACTGTTGGAAACAGTGTCAAAGGCTTTGCTAAAATCCATGTAGACAAGATCTACAGCCTTTCCCTCAGCCCCTAAGCAGATCACCTTATAGGAGATCAGGTTGGTCAAGCAGGATCTGCCTTTCATAAACCCATGCTCACTGGGCCTGATCACCTGGTTGTCCTGTACCTGCCATGTGATGGCACTCAAGATGATCTGCTCCATAAACTTCAGATCAAGATGATCTGCTCCATAACCTTCTCCAGCACCGAGGTCAGGCTGACAGGCCTGTAGGTCCCTGGATCCTCCTTCTGACCCCTTTTGTAGATAGGCGTCGCATCTGCAAACCTCCAGTCCATGGGGACCTCCCTGTTTAGCCAGGACTGCTCGTAAATGATAGAAAGCGGCTCAGTGAGCATTTTTAAGGCTTGCGGGAAAAGAAAAAAAATAGTCTTGGCCAGTAATTTGTGTGCTCTTTCCCATATTTGTTGCTAAGGTGATGCGTAAAACATACTGTAACTTCAAGTAAAAGGAGACAAGATACCTGCCAGTTCTCTGATGGATCTCCACAACACTTTCCTTGGAGGGCTGAGGAATGATGTCATTCTTTAGGCAGCTGTCCTTTTCTCAGTTCAAAAGATAGGCTGGAAAACACTTTTCTTACAAACAGGAAGCAACAGAAGAAAGGCCTTGAGTCTTTCTGCAACAACAGGGGAGGTAGTATTCAAGAGGGAATACTGGAGGAAGAAAAAAATTAGAGGAACTATGTAGTAATTGAGACAACCTAGCTGCAGAAGAAATCATCCAGAAAATTAAAAGGAGAGAAAATCAAAAGGCAAAAAAGGGCAGTTAAAGGCCAACGAGGATCAGAGGAAAAGAAAAGGAAGGGAATTAAATAGAAGAGGCTGAAAAGATGAGAAATGTTGAAGAACTGAATGAACCATGGTGCATCACATGGAAAAGGCAGGATTTTGAGAAAAGGGAAGAGAAAATAAAATTAGAGAAAAAATAATATTAAAGAAATCAACACCTTTAAAGAAAATGCATGTGAAAAGGAGAAGATAGCACTTGAACAAAACCAGAAAAATCACAAATGCTTCTTGATGTGAACTTGGCGATAAAATAAAAGAAACCTGGTGGGGAAAAAACCCTCTAAAATTTTCATTAGTATCTGTAGATGGAGAAAATTCAATTGAGGAAACAGAAATACACACTCTCATGTAATTTTTTTTTTTTTTCAGTCAGCTGTACATGCCTTCATTAAGAAAAGCAATGCTATGTTCATGCTTTCTTCTTTGGATAGGCTCCCCCCAACATGAATACATTTAGCTAATGCACAGTACTGATATGTCACTGATTTTAATGAAAAAAATAAATATACTAAAAGATAATTATTTTTCAGTTGAGTGGTTTGATTTTTTTCTGTTTTAGAATATTTTTCTCTCTTAATATAAGAGAAAAATGTTATAAAGTGAATACATATATAGTACAATATATATGGCCTCTTTAGTATTTTCTTATTTAGATTCACGATTTAAGGCAAGATTAACTGGAATATATAAGATGTTGTACAGTTACTCGCAGATTTCATACAAAATCAGTTTCTTATGGTTTTTATAATTCCAGTGTAGTTTTTATATGGCATCTCCTCATAACTTTTTAAATTGGCAAATCCAGGATTTGGCTTTTGGTTTAAGTGTTTTTGTAAGTACTCTACTTTCCCAGTTCCTTGAGCAGATCATTCCTTCTATGCACAAATTAGTAGAATAACTTAGTTGAACGGATCAGGACTGTTCTGCTTAGAGGTTATGTTAATGCTGATCTTTAGTCATTCCATCACAAACATGTGTTGTCAATCTACACATACAAATCTGAATGATGAGGGCCAGCCACTGAATGATCAGTGTGGCCTGGGAACCCCCAAAATGTCTATTTGCTGCTATAAGGCCAAAATGTAGTTTTAATATCATCAGACACTCTATGTATAGACTTTTGTTTGTAGCTAACAAACAAAATATTTCTTTCTTTATAGGACCATTATTTTTCCTGTTCTAAGACCTTTACTCACAAATAAATGTATACTGAAAAGTAAAAAATAAACAGATAGTTATGATATAATTAGGGGTATTATATATACGGCATACTTTACAAATTCACAAAAAAAAGGAATTAAGAAAGAAATCTTACCAACCTGCAGGATCTGTGGTTTACTGATGTACTGATCACTCATCAAATATGCACAACCAAAGCCTGTTTTGTTTACTTGCTATTTGAATACTTTGTTGAAAGCTTTCAACAGAATTCTTAGTGCTAAAAAATGAGATACACTTAGGTATTCATCCTGCCAGAACTGATAAAAAATAAGAAGTGATCAACTGCATAATACGAATCCATTACAAATTTCTACCTTATTTGCAGTTAGTTATGTATATGAGCAGACACTACTACATACGAGGCAACATAATAACCTGTCAGCATACCTAAACCCAAGAAAGATGTCTCTGAATTTTTAACAAAGAGAACAGTTGTTAAATCAAAGCACATTACAGATCAAGATATTTTTTAACCTAAAAATACGAGAATAGTTTTTGGTACTGCTTTCAGATTAAAATCTTATTTAATGAGCAAATACAGGAGCTAGTAAGGTAGAAGTAAGGAACAGGGAGAAACTTCTTTACTTATGTTGGAAAGCAAAGTAATAGTTTCATCCTTCTTTTATATTGTTTACATTTAGATTTTTAAACTGCAAAATAGGACCAAGAAAGGAAATTAATTCAGTGTACATGGTTCCATCTAGCTTTTCTTT